AAGACCAATTGAAATTATGGGGAGGAACAGAAAGATCACTTGGGTGGTGTAGGGGTGGTTTCAAGAGCTACCAGTGGCTTGAGTTCCTGTAATACAGTAAGGGAAAGACCAATTGAAATTATGGGGAGGAACAGAAAGGTCACTCGGCTGGTATAGGGGTGGATCAAGAGCTACCAGTGGCTTGAGTTCCTGTAATAGAGTAAGGGAAAGACCAATTGAAATCATGGGAAGAACAAAAAGATTACTCGGCTGGTATAGGGTAGGATCAAGAGCTACCAGTGGCTTAAGTTCCTGTAATAGAGTAAGGGAAAGACCAATTAAAATTTATGGGGAGGAACAGAAAGATCACTTGGCTGGTATAGGGATTGGTAAAAAGACACCAATGGCTTGAGTTCCTACAAACAGTAAGGATAGACCATTTTAAATAATAGAGAAGACCGAGAAAATCAGAGCAGGAAGGAACCATAGAAGGAATACTTACCACTGTCTCTGCTAGTTTAATTCTGGGTATAAAGCTGTTTGGCGCCCTCTGTTGTTGGTGTTTAGATGTATAGAAACTATGATTGATCCAGTACGGGATATTGTAGTCATCACCGATATCCGTGTGACCTTGTTTGTTGTGAAACTATAACAAAGCAGGATCTGTGAGTCTCACAGTCTGAGACAGTATTGTAAAATCTGTATTAATAGCCGCGGCTTCTATTAAAATGGTACAATGCAACAGAAGGGATGCGGCTTCTATTAGAGCGTCTACACATGGTGAATTTTTGGGTCTCGATTGTGTGCGGCTTTGGATATAGATTTTACTGTTGTTCTTGTTGTCAAATGCTGACATTAGATTGTTTCATTTTTATAAACATTATTTTATTCTGCACTTGCTTCTAAACTAGTTTTTTATAATGCATTAATTACTCACTGAATTTTAACTTTGCAATTATTGCTGCAAAGTGATATCTAAAAATTCAATCTGCAAAGTGATATCTAAAAATTGAATCTGCAAAGTGATATCTAAAAATTAAATTTATGTGAATATGTAATACTGGTAGAATTTATTGATCAAACAGGAGAACCTGGAGAATATGGTCCAAATATCAAAACAGTGATATTAAATACTTATGAAAACTAAATGCTTTTACAGTATTTTTCTGGAGTAACGGATTATCTTCCATTGACTGTGAAAGTCTGCCACAAAAATCAAAAGATTTGATTTTGAACTTAAATACTTCATAACTCAATATTAAAATGCCAATCATTCAAAAAGGGATATTGTATTAAGATATTCTTTCTTCATCAAAACAAGTCATTGAAAATGACACAGTTCCTGTCAAATTTTTGAAAGTTCTCTTTGTGCTCGTCATATTAAAGCGAAGGGGTTGTCACGAGTGTGTCCTTGAAACTTGAGTTCTAAGTGGCGTACACAACAGATTGTTTATTTACATCAGAACACGTGTTCCGTGTAGTGGTAATATGGCCAAAAATAAAAACAGCCGTTATTTGGCCATCTTTGATCTGATTATGGAACACACTGATATGTATGATGTGCCAAATACAAATGAAAATGGTACATAAATTGTGGAAATAAAGTAGTAAGGCCAAAAAGTCAGATGGCTGTCAATCGGCCATCCTTGACCAGATTTTGAAACAAATTGTCATGGACATGCATCCTAACATGCATAAGTACATGTATGTGTCAAATTTGAATGAAAACTGACAAAGCATGTCCAAAATACAACTTTTTTCAAAAAACAAGATGGCTGCCAGATGCCATTTTGAATCGAATCGCTAAACCACTGCATGTGCATATGTCCCACATAAGGTACTAGGCACATGCAAAGAATGAATGAAATCGGTCCAAGGGATTCTGAGATATGACTCCGGACGGACACACGAACGCACAGACAGACGGAGACCGAATTATAAGTCCCATCTAATCACTGCAAATACAATTTTATGTTAAAAATAGATTTATAATAGGTAGCAAGTTTACCTTAAAGAGAGGAGCCGCATGGAGGGGTTGTTCTGCCATACAAACTAAATCACTACCAATACCTACATGGTATAAAGATGCAAGGCTGGGATTATCAATGCAAATGTACAGGAATTGCATCACATTTCTCATTTCGTCTACAGTCTTCAAAATTTAATATCAAAATCTGGTTTTGGTTTTTGGACAACCCTTGTGAAAGCAAAGAAGTAGTTTTGATGGATTTATCTATATATATATACCGGTAATGTGTCAAGTTGTCAAGTGATCAGTGAAGGCATCAGAGATATGGTGTCAAATCATTTTTGAGAATAAAATGGACACCCGTCGGCCATATTGATTCTCATCTGAATATGAACTAGAAATGTTATAACATATTATCTAATAAATATTGATAAGCAGGAATTAGAATTTACTTACCATTATCAATCATTCTTTGTTTAGTAATATTGCACAAATCTCTGTCAACTTCAAAGACGCCTGCTCCGGGGGTGATTACGATTGCCAGCTGACCAGTACGGTCAAAATTCCGATTAACATAATGCTTGTCGAAAACTTGAAAGGAAATAGAAAAATTCAAACCAATTTGCTTGTATATCCACACATAGTTTTTGAGAAGTTGTTCACAGACAGCTGGTTACATGGCTTGTTTATTTATTATATAATTGATTTAGAAATGAGTACTGAGCAATTGTAAATTCAGCAACTCTAAAAAAAAAACATGAAATATAAGTTTTATGAACAACTATTTTTTAATGATTGTGCCAGGTGACAGGTGACAGTTCTGAACACTGTTGTCTCTACAAACTTTTTTTTCATTGCAAGTGCAAGAGCAATCTTACAATTAGTGCATTTTGCCACAAAATCTGTCTCCATGTTTAGAACTACATGACAGGGCTATGCAGGCATTTCTATATCAAAAGATAATTATGGTAATGCTTTATCCTGGCGGAACACAAGCATCTGTGGACCTTGGGAAAGATTGTCCCAAAGCTGTATTCATTTGGTCTCCCCATTAAGTCTGCTGGCCCAGAGTAGAGGTTTTATCCATTTCTGGACCCCCCACTCCCAAGGAAGAATTCAAGCTCTGCTCCACCAATCACAGGTCCAACGCAACCAGTGAACGTCCAATTCACCTTTAACTCACCATTTAATGACAAATTAATAGCTTCAAGAAAGTTCCCCACCACAGATGTAGAATTGTAACCTGGGGGACATTCCTCGCCTGAAATGAAAAAAAAAATTCTTTTCAAATCTATTCAACAAAACAAATAAAACTGTTGGTTTATGCACAAAATAAGTAATCAATCAGACAGACAGACAGACAGACAGACAGACAGACAGACAGATTAATAACTTCAATGATTTGAGGTGTCATGTTCAATCATGCGTTAGAAGAGTACAGTATTTAAAAGTAGTGTGTCATCCTTGATACCTTAATTAAAATCCTGAAAGGTATTACATCAAAGAAAATATCACAAATGCACATTTTTTTTCAAACCAAAATTTTACCGTTAACTTCATTTCGTATAATCTGTTTCGGATACTGATTGAAGACTTTTTTCAGAGTGACAAGTAGGGGTCTCCAATCATCTCGTCTTTCATTGAGTGCAATAATTCTGCAAAATACAATACAGTAGTATTTACTCAATACACCCCTTCTATGTTCATTACATCGCATCATGGAATTTTGTACCATAATTGTTCCATTAGTAGCGCACATGCTTATGTATACGTCATGTGTAAGTACATTCACGGTCAAAATAATTTAATAATTCAGTGCATAATAAATACAATTTATGAGTGCTTCTATTAGATTCTTTCTATATGAAGCATATATGGTATTTGATTATGATGTTCACTCAGTACTGTTGGAAATCAAGAAAGATAGAAAGTTAAAAATACCTGTAAAAATCCTCATAAATCTGTCCTCTGTAATCTTGTAGCAGACAAGCCCTGATTGATGCTGGAAAATCCTCTAAAAAATACAATTATAACTTGACTGAAGCAGTGATCTGGTACAATATGGTCCACAGTAACGAGTTCAAGAAAAATTATTAATACTAGAAAACAGTGTGCAATTGAATTGATTCCAATTAACCTGAAATTGAGGCAATCTGACTTTCAATTGTCAAATCTTAAAAGAAGTATAATATTTTATCAAAGAAGAAATCAGATACTGTAAAATACTTAATTGTAGCTGGAATTAATTTTCGCTGAAAAGATTTTTCGGGTGTTTTGTATATTACTTTTTTTCACTGATTTTTGACGAGTTGAATGTAAAATATAGAAAAAAAGGTATATTTGCTGGATTTTATTTTCACTAAATCATTCCTTCAGCGATAATTAGTTGCAGGCAAAAATAAAGTATTTTACAGTACATCACCATGAAATGAGAAAATTATAAAATTAATCCATGGTTCATGAAAAAAAAAGTTTTGTCAAAATTTATAACAAAAATACCATTTACATTTATTCAGTACACACGAACCAAACTTCATGATAGAGACTTTCCTTACCTATTGATTGAGCTTCATAAAAGGTTCTTGAAAATAAAACAATAGTCAATTCATGGAAGTTGTTTTTCTCCTTCCATCGAGTGAAGAGTTCTGTTAAAAATTCAATGGCTTTTTCAAGATACAAATCCCCTGTAAGAAAATGATCAATATCCATTTAAAATTAACAAGTCATTGAAAATGACACAGTCCCCATTAAATTTTTGAAAGTTCTCTTTGTGCTTGTCATATTAAAGCGGAGGGGTTGTCGCGAGCATGTCCTTGAAACTTGAGTTCCAAGTGGCGTATACAACAGATTTTTTATTTACATCAAAACATGTGTTCCGTGTAGTAGTAATATGGCCAAAAATAAAAACAGCCGTTATTCGGCCATCTTTGATCTGATTATGAAACACACTGATATGTATGATGTATGTGCCAAATACGAATGAAAATGGTACATAAATTGAGGAAATATAGTAGTAAGGCCAAAAAGTCAGATGGCTGTCAATCGACCATCCTTGACCAGATTTTGAAACAAATTGTCATGGACATGCATTCTAAAATGTATAAAGTACATGTATGTGCCAAATTTGAATGAAAACTGACAGAGCACGTCCAAGATACCGCATAAAAAAACAAAAACAAGATGCCTGCCAGTCAACCATCTTTGATCCAATTGCGAAATAAATCATCATGGACATGTATCCTAACATGTATAATCTATGTACCAAGTTTGAATGACAACTGACAAAGCATGTCCAAAATACAACATTTTCAAAAAACAAAATGGATTTTGAATTGAATCGCTGAACCACTGCATGTGCATATGTCCCACATAAGGTATTAGGCACATGCAAAGAATGAACGGAATCGGTCCACAGGATTCTAAAATATGACTCTGGACAGACTGATGCACGGACGGACGGATGGACGGACACACGGATGGACAGACTCAGGAACTCACGGACGGTCAGGGACATGTATCCTAACATGTATGATCTATGTAATAAATTTGAGTGAAAACGAGCAAAGCATGTCCAAAATAAAACATTTTCAAAAAACAAGATGGCTGCCAGTCGGCCATTTGGAATAAAATCGCTAAACCACTACATGTGCATATGTCCCACATAAAGTACTAAGCACATGCAAAGAATGAACGGAATGGGTCCAAGGAATTTTGAGATATGACTCCGGACGGACGGACGGAGACCGAATTATAAGTCCTCGTTTTCGGACTTTGTCCGAACGAAGACTAATAATCTATGTACCAAGATATCACATTACATTGGTCTTGCTTCATATGTATGAACAATTTTTCAAACTATCAAAAATAGTTACACTGTATTTTTAATTTTCTTGTTCCAAGATGTGGTACAAGTCAGTCTATAACTTTTCAATTAACCCAAGTGGTAAAGTAAAATTTACACAAAAAATACTTTCACAATCACAATCACAATTTTACGGTTTAAACAATAATTGATATTGTGACTTTATCACCATGGGTCCCATATTAAACATGAAGTGATACAATGACTGTAGCGCTTTGCGCATCAAGGTTTTGGGTGAAAGTCACATACCATAGACATCAAACTCCCACATTTCACTACTCATCTGTAGAAACAGATAAACCATGGCAGTAGATGACCTGAAAACGACTTTTGTGACTTCAGAAATGACACCACAGGCAACCTTTTCGCTTTTAGCCCACAACTCACTGATCTGGGCCCGGATCCCAGAAAACTCTACTTTCCGGGTGATGTAAACACAGGAATCCACCTGGAAAAATAACAGTAAAACATCAATTGACAATCAACAGTTAACGTTGTAATGTACCTTAAAAAATAGTGATTAGACTTGAATAGATAAAGACTTAATCTGCATAGCAGTTAAAGTCCCCAAAATGGTGACTGTAAACCTCCACTCGAACTTGACTTACCAAACTATTCTTTAGCCTCCACATGTCACTTCTACTGATGTACTGATCTTTGAAGGTCAACTCCACGAGGTCAAGGGTCACATGTTCTGGGGGTACCTGATTGACAATCACATCTTTGTAGGTTCGGAGGTTGAAAGTTGTGGCTATACTTTGATCGATACTGATAGAATCTGGAAAATATCCAAATGTAAGACTATAACAAAAATATTCATGTTTTCATGCATCGTCCGAATCACACAGTTTTGCTAAAGCCGGTCATTAATAACCGGCCTACGAACCCGTGCGTGATCGTGTTAGAAAAAGCGCCACCAGTTGCTGTATCATACGGTAAATGTGAAGATCGGGGAGCTCATCACAGATAAAAACAATGGCGGCATGTAGGCTTTGCTAATTCACCTGCAGTTAAGAACAGAAGGTCTATATTCGTTGACACATTTCCAAAATTCCTTATTCAAACTTTGAAAATTGTTTGTGGGCAAGTGAATGAGGACGATGGAATGTCTAAATATTTGTGATTTAGAAAACTGACAAAACTATCGAAACTGATAACATATTGACTTGCCCGATACGGTCTTCGTTGCAACAAACAATCGAGGGACTGTGTTTGCAACAAACACGTCATTTTCCTCAGATACAGCACTAAGTGCTTTCTTTTGATGATCAGTAAGATCGTTCATACCCATGGTGTTACATTTTTTGCTGGTGGTATGACAGCCTATACAAAAAACACTGGAGCCCTTTTATTCAAACGTTATTATGTTAGAACCCATTATGTTCGAAAGATTGGTCACAGGAAGGCAGATTTTGAGAAATGTTTACACTAAAATGGCAACCATTCTTCCATCTTAAATTGGATCATGAAACGAATGCATGTGCTTAATACAATGTATGTATAATATGATTGGTCAAATATGTGTAAAACATGAACATGATCATTCAAGGCATGTCAGAGATATGGCATTGTTAAAACAAAATGGATGTGTACCATTTGGAATCCAATCAAAAAATGATTTTGCAACAAAGACCTATTATTATGCTCAATGATTCACAAAAAAATATTTATCAGAAACCGTTTTCTGGGATTTTTACTGTATCCGAGGATTTGTTGATTCATAAGCCGAAGATTTATATATGTTTTGAGGTTTAAAGTGAGAGAGTCGTCACCTGCGCATATGGCAAACTGTTTTTGTCACTGTTTATAAATTAGCATCTAATCATTAGCCTTTGTGTTTTAGTGTGTGTTGTTCCTGCATGTGCACAAGTGATGACCCTTGGTGTTAAGACTTATCCCGTACTATCAATGCACTATGAATGCAATAGTCAGCTATTTCTTGAGTCTATGAAAACTGTTATATAACAGTCAACAATTCATTTGGAATCATTTAGACAGCGAATCACAGTGACTTTCATTAGGATTCTAAAGGGTCATAGTGACTTTCACATGAATCCTAGGAAGTTACAGTGACTTTCCCAGTAGCTAATTTGCTTTCACAAGGTCACAATAACTTTTACTAGGGTCCTAGGGAGTCACAGCAATTTTCGCAAAACTTCAGCCTCACAAATGCCCTCAAATATCATATTGCAAAAATTGATATTAGAAGAAATAAAATATTCAAACCGGTTTACAGTAAATGCTATTTTGCATATTCACAGGGTTTTTATTTAGTGCGATATGAAAAACAGGTAGTATCGGTAATTAACCGTTGATGTAGAATAAATGTTTTACCTTTGATTGACTGCTGTTTGTCTTCGTTCATTGACGTGACTTGCAGAAGTAAACGACTAAAAACAGACAAATACATATTACAAATTACTGTAAAAGGGGTAATTGTTCACTGGGTTTTAATTTAGCTTATTTCGCTGACTGGAAAAATGCGCTAAATTAAAACACAGTGAATATGTAACATTTAGCATAGAACACATTATCTAAATGACGAAACCGTGAATTTAAAACCCACTGAATATGCCTGAAATGGTAAATCAGTGAAATTTAAACCCAGTGAAAATTAGTCATTTTACAGTATTATACATTTAACATCGATAAACAATAGAATTTATCCGTCTGTAAAACACAGTACAGACATGATAGAAAATGTTATGGGCATGTTTGAATGTCTTCCTTATTTGGAAATTGTGTGTCATGTTTACCATCACATTCAAATACTTTTCTTTGTTTATTTCAGATGTAGAAGTGCTCTTAGCGGACGATGGAAATAGAATGCAAACAATCACACACTGATCATCGTTTAAAAGACTGAAAACTTGAATGCTTTATTGGGAAAAGAATGTAACAGCCTTAAAAACATGGAAATTTTCCTTATTTCCAAAGGATCTTTCCAAGGTTAGAGTGGTCAAATTATAATAATCATAATTTTTCAGCATAACTCAATATCCGAGGTTAAATATTCAGAATTTAGTTTTTTGAACCAAACATATGCAGATTGCCCAAAGGAATGGGAAAGGGGGGGGGGTACCACACAGACCTTCTGTGGTACGGTGGTAATATGGTGGAGTAAGAAATGCAGTAAATCAACATAAAATATTTCATCTCTGAATGCAGTAAAGAGAAAGAGAAAACAAATCATGAGCCAGACTTTTTTTGGATAGAATTGACACTCTAATCTTCTTCTGACTCATAGGTTATTGTTTGTTTGCATATTAGGCAAGTCTGATTTTAGTGAGTTTAACCACCTCCATGACAGAACTTACTTGATACATTGTCAGTGGGTTAGCCCCTTTTATAGTAAGAACACAGCATTCAACCATAATATCGGTGATGTGGTTAGTTTTTCTCTTGGATGTACTTATTTTGATAAATCATGGTAATATGTTCTGTTCTGTTTGCAGTATATGATTGCAATGCTTAAGTTTGTGTATGCTCAGCTTCGTGGCTACTTGTCAACGGTTTATTTACCCGCAACTTGCCCTGGGACAATAGACTGCCAAGCAGCATTTCCAGACCAGGGATAGAGGAACTGTGAGACAGTAAAGCAAAAACAATGTTATTTAGTTAAACCATAGACCTTAAAAGACATTTTTTAGGTCTATGGTTAAACATGTATACTGCTACACTATATCACAGCCAGTTTAAGAATCCAGTTAAATTATGCCCCTAGCCTTGGTCGAGTTTCTCTGTTTTGGTTTTAAATAAGTTCAGTTATCAAATAATTCAGTAGCTGAATGGATCCAGGTCATTAAACAAGACGATATAATGCTGTATGGGGGAGATAGTGTCATGCACATAGAATTTGTTGTCCATAATAAACAAAGTGTTTGCTTTGCTGTGTAAACAGTATTATTTCCGTGTGGTGATTACTAATACCTGTATTCATCTTCCACATGGTATATTTTTACCACATCACCAACATTAACCATCGCAAACTCTTTGGGATTGAGAATAAGTTCATCCTCTGAAAGACAATTTTGCAGCGACGTTAAGAGCAGACCATTAGAAACTTGGGGTGTGAACAAAAATTACAGAATTTTTTTTTTTTAAATACCCCCCCCCCCCCGTCAAATATCCAAGCGTTAATACTAAGGGGATCCCGGATCTCTTGTGTTTTGATTTGAAACGATCGGCGTCGTACATTCAAGCCACGATATACACATAGCACGTCACTTACCACTGAAGGTTTTCTGGTGCACCAAAAGTTTCACCTGTTTCTTCATCGTTGCAACAAAAAATTGGTCTATAGTTTGTCAATATAAAAAACGCACAAGGTATCACTTTATTATTTCACGCAGTTAGAATTTCTCTGGGCGCAGCCATCTTGTATCCCACAATCCGTCAGAAAACGACGGAAAGAAATGATAAACACACAGACGCCCGGAAGTCGTGGTAGCATGAACTGAGTATCAATGTTGCCTGAAATTGTACATATTATATTTTACCAACGCCGATGTGAAGTGAGAATATGTTTACAAGAACAAAGCAGGCATTATGTGTGTGTGGCAGACTACTTAAGATAGGGCATCCACGGCAAGGTGAGTGTATACTGCCAGTTACACATTATATTCCCTGGTACATGTACATGTAAGAAGCAGTCACTATTGAGCGCTAAAATTCCAAATAATTAGATCAATAATATTTATTATATTTTTCACGACTACATTCCATACACAAAAATAATGTGTAGCGGTTAAAGGCGATGAACATCGCGCAGAGTACATTCAAATTTTGTGTTTACACATGTTTTATAGATAGATAGATAGATAGAATTTTTTATTTGGAACGTACCAATGAAAACTTGAGTAAAGTCCAAAAAATAACAATAACAAAACAAAACATTCAGAACAACAAAAACTTACAGTATTAAAACATATCAAGAATATAGAAAATAAATTTTGCAAAAATGCTAAGAATGAAAAAATCATTACTTTATATGTTGTGTGGGTCCCATATAGCGCATGTCAAACAGAACACACGAGATGACCATCACCTTTAACTGGCTGATGGTTGTCGCCCCACGTATATGGGTCCCATGTCAACAAAAGTAACGACTTAGATTGTGCAGATTTGCATACAATCAACGACACTTTACAACACAATTCCAGAAGCTGTACCTACACACGAATTGGTGGCGTCACAAAATACATGACTTTCAATCGGGGTTGTGTGCTTGATATATACGAATTGGTATATTCAAATTACAATAAAGATACTTAAGACATTACAAATAAGGTGGAACAAATCACGTGACAATATAATGATAATAACGATAATAAATCCTGACTTAACAGTTGAACAGAACGATCATACATGTATAGTCAGTCGGGTCATGCCAAGGGTCATGCTCTTCGTTGCAACATGGCTGTGTGGTTGAAACTAGGTCAAAATCACAATAAAACGGCGAAGTGGGCACATATTATGGCGTGGCAAACATGCTATGGGAAATGAAAAACCGCCAAATACAAACGCCAGGGGTTCGAATCCTACTAGATAGACACTCACCGGAGCCAAAGCAATCGTTTTGGCTTTCCTGTTAACTAATCGGATCATTCAAGTAGTTAGCAAAACGAATACCACTCATCGACCAACCTGGTGACGTGGAACACAAGCCTGCCATCAAGATAAAACAAAATTAGCTTGAAAAGGCAGTGGGTTCGGGTCCCGCTCAGAGCTACCATAAAAAAACGTAAATCAAATAAACTGAAACGAAATTGCAATTACATTAGGAGATGAGACAGACTGCATTACAAAATATGAGCTTTATAAAGAGGAGACTGAAAATATACAAATTATTCATGTTGTATTCAACCATAACAACATAATGAAATACATGATATACATGACAGTAACTACGAGAGTTATCAAACTACATTCAGCATCCTTTATATTAAAGGAGACATTTCTATAACAAATGACAGCATAGTGTTGTTCAAGCAAAAATAAATGCATTGTCTATTCGATTCAATGTTATTCTGTTCTATTTTATAAATATACATGTATTTGCCGGAATTCGCATATACTCATGCCATAGTTCACATGATAGAACCAAGAACCAAGTACCATCTTACTAATCATTTCAAATTTGTTGTTTATGTGTCTGTATGTGTGACTATTTCCCTTCCCCAGGTCAAGAATTAACACCTTCCTAATATAAATCCTTGAGAAAATACAAGCATGTAAGATTACATAATATTATAATTATCGCTGCATGAGAATCATATCACCTCATTTATCATGTAGCATAGCATGTTTCCATGTAATGTACATGTGTTGTATATGTATCATGAAACCCATATCCAGCATAACATGATGTGATAACTGGTGCTTTTAATTACTGTCAGTAATTACTTATGATTTAATTACAGGTCTAGAAGGTCAGCTCTATATCCCGACTGTGATCCAAGTAGCCGGAATACGTACTCCTGAACTTCCCGATGATTACGATCGTAAGTATTCATTGTCTGTTGCACGATTTCTCCATAACGTTTTGAATGCTAGCGTCAACATCGTACAAAAGCAATTTTTTTCTTTATATTTGAAGAATTTAGTCAAGACCTGTCACAAATAGAAAATGTTGAGTTGAGTTAAATTGATTAACAAGAAAGTTATTAGAAATATATACCAAAGCATGTTACGCCAACATTTGTACAGGAAACAAATAAGGCGTTCAAATGGTCACGCTGCATTATGTTCAATATATGTAATATGTCATTGTGATATATAGAACCTATGTCGAACACATCAAATAATTACTCAAAAAATACTATGACTGTAGCGATTAAGACTAATAGCTTTAGTGATTTAAAAAAGACCTGATTGTTTTCCTAATCATTTCAAATTGTTGGTATTGAACTAAAACTTATCATCATCTTTTTGTTTTCCAGATATTGTTATTCCGGATAAACCAAAATTGAAGTTCTATGAAAAACAACCACAGAATGTTATCATTAAAAAAGAATCCAAAAAATTGATAGATATTCGAGGACCAGAGCCGACGGAACACACGTTCAACCATAAACAGTATGGAATAGTTGTAAGTACATGTACCAATATGTATTCCATTCCATTCCATTTTGTTCAGTCACTGTTCTCAGTCAGGCCACAGTTCAGTGGTGCGGTGCCCTCAGGTGGTGAAAATCATTAAACATTTGTTTTTCTATTACTAATCTTGTGAGGAAGCTGCTTCTAGAAAAGAGATGTGCAAGAAACAACTTTTTTATAAAACATTCTGTTGCAGAAACTGATAAAAAATAAAGTTGTTGATTACTGCATTCCAAATTGCATGCATATTTGCTTTCAAATTAGTCGATTTTAAATAATAAATGTCACACTGACTGGAACATTATATCTGTGGACACATAAAAATTTCTGAAATTATTGTTATCAATTTCTTTAATCAAGATCAACATGTGCGAGTATTTATATGTAATATTTCAGTGAAAATACATACATCTACGTACATATAAAAACATCTGAAACAATTTGTGAGTTTCGAAGATAACAGGGTGGGGCTGTGGTATAATATAAGTGATTGTCAGTTGCCATCTATTGTAGATTTCCAGCTTTTGTTTGAAAATTTCTCATTTGGTTAACCCTCTTAACGGTATCTGATGTGCCGATGTTTTGGCAGCTGGGTTAGTTGGTTTGGGTAGATAGTAAGATCTCGTACAAATGTACATATATAAGGGGATACTCTTATGGATTTCACTGAGTGAGGTAGGTAGTCATATCAGGCATACAATATCCTAACAGATTATTTTTATATTACCTTAATTTTTCAGGCTCTTGGTGGCGGCTATCTGCGCTATGGACACATTGAAATGATGAGACTTACTATCAATCGCAAGATGGATGCCAAAAAAATGTTTGCTGTGTGGAGAATTGATGCCCCATACAAACCTATTACTAGTAAAGGACAAGGCAAACGAATGGGAGGAGGCAAAGGTAAGACTCAACAATATGCTTTTATTTTATGCTCTTTTTCACAAAACCCAGGTAAAAATGTATGGTCAACAAACTAATTTTCAAGCAAAACACAAGTCAAAAGTCCATCAAAATAATGGTTTTTGAGCTTTTTACAGGATATTGAGAACTCCCTAAGTAGCGTGAAAACTTCTTAAATATGTATGATTTTGCTGTGAAAACTCCCTAAGTATGCAGGACATTGCTGTGAAACCCCTAAGTATGCAGAACTTTGCAGTGAGAACTTCCCAAGAATGCAGGACTTTGCTGTGAAAACCCCCTACGTATGCAGGACTTTGCTGTGAGAACTCCCTAACTATGCAGGACTTTGCTGTGAAAACCCCCTAAGTATGCAGGACTTTGCTGTGAAAACCCCCTAACTATGCAGGACTTTGCTGTGAAAACCCCCTAAGTATGCAGGACTTTGCTATCATTTAGTTGTGATTACTGTGATTACTTGGCAGCCCCCCTATGTAGTATGAATTTGAGGTAGACTTGATTGTGATAGAGTAGAAATGATATGTAGATCAATTGTCTGGCAATCTGACATCACTAATCTCAGTTCCTGCTGGCTCTTAAATCTAACATGATTGTGTAGATTAATTAACTGCCCTGCCGACAGAGGTCACATGGATAATGCAGTAATTGAGGAATCAAATCGGGAAGCCTTTGTTTGCTCACAGAATTTAATCAGAAAACTAAAATCAATTTGACTATAAACGCACCTCAGTCTTTGTAATCTACCGAGAAGAGAATCATACCCTTGAAACATGTACATTGTACAATATTTGAATGTTTCTTAGTGCCTCTGATTATCTCTTTTTTGCCCATAAACTATGATAACAGCTTTTTACTTAGTAATACTGAAATCTAAAACAAATTCCAACACATGTACCTTCAAGCAATGCTGAAATTGGTTTCAGGTTTGGGTTTATTTTCTGGTTCTGGTTCTGGTTCTGATTTGTGTTCAGTAGAACTACATATTTGTGTGTTTCTGTTTACTGGCACCTTGTCTTTTAAAAACTTGCTTTGCCCCACCCTCACCCCCACAAAATTGAAAAAATATAACTCACAGGTATTTAAACCTAGACTTCTTAGAGAAAAACATGAAACTATTAATCCAATGGCATATTTTTTAGGAAAGTGAAATTGTGCATTTTAATTCATCATATAAAAACTGTATTCTTTGAAAAAAAAAACAATGAGGTAATACCCCCGCAAAATGAATATGAATCCGATTCCAGAGCCAACTTCAACACTGTGATTGGATTTCAATGCTGATTAACTGCAGTGATGGGAACCGTTGATATGAGGTGTCATAGATGGCAGCTCCTTGGGGACACTCAACATTCTCTGTTATTACGTATATATTGTGTATTTGTGATCAGTCTTATCAAGGCCGTTTCTTATTACACTGCTGCTAATGCATTTCCTTGAGTCGTTTGTGGTCACGCAAGTTTTGCAGTGATGAAGAATACTAATAATTTGACTTGTTTAATGTGTGTTGGAATTACCATGCCCCATGTCCAGCTCTACTCTGAAATATGTGATTCACTTTGCCGCAGTAGACAATGCTGAGGTTGTAAAAATCTAATATCAGCTGGTCTGGCTCCCTAGGTGTTGATACTGTTAGACATTAAAAAACAGCGCATTGAAGTAAGAATTGAATAACATCAAAAGTCATACATTGACTCTGTATACCTCAGTGTCAGATTCACCAAGGCTGTGAAAGCTAGCATCTTTCACACTACATTCTGACTATGACACGTTTAAAAATTCGTAAATTTATTCGCAATTTTGCAAATCAAGGCATATTTAACAGTTATATAAATTGAAGTTCAAGTGTAAATGCCAAATATATTGAATATTGTGATATTAAGAAGTTAAGATACTCGTGTAATTTTTCAACTAGGATCAATTTCAAAATATTGTATTCAAAGTTTGATAATTGTGAAAATTATTTTTCGTATTATGACCGTTGCTGATAATTGGTAAATGTCAGTAACTGTGTATACTATAATTAACGTACTATGATTAACTAAATTATTTGCAGGCAGAATCTTAAATAGACATCAAGCTCGGCTAGTTACATTTCCAATAGTAATTGCTGGTATATTAGCATTCTGATTGGTTAATATTTGACACATGGCAGGTCAATACATACATCAATATATCATAACTAACATTACTATTGAGTGTGAGCTACTGAAAATATTCATTCACAATGAAATGTTGAGTTCGATAATACATGTCATTACAAACCAACACAATTGCAGTGTTTGCATAATATCACTATGACTGAAACATTAGTTTGTATAACCTCAAAATGCACTAAATTGTCCTGTGTGAAACATGACTAGACATGATTAATATTTTGCAAGCCTAGCTAATTTGTTTTTTAATTTTTATTTATTACCAAAAGGAATATCAACACTTTACAGATTATACCTTTTTTTTATCGCATAGAAATGTTGGTCAATTTTTTTCATCTGGACTGTAAAATTCCAGAACCAAATAATAGCCTTTCATTTTTTGATGCTCAAATTAGGATATTCCAGTATGTCATTCTGAAATTGAATACAACAGCAAGAAAATAGAACGTTGGCATA